TGTGTGTGTGTGTGGCTGGTGGAGTATATTGAGTTGCAGTTAGAGGTAAGAAAGGAGGAGAGGGTCTATTTAATTTAGTGTATTGGGTATATGGGTTTAAAGAAAGACAAGGGAGGAAGCTTTAAATTATGTCCTGAGTTAACTTGTTTGTGCTCTGTGCACCAATAACAGTTGAGCAAGCCAGAACAGACAGTAACCTCAAAGTTGAGGTCAGTTTTTTCATGTGTTCTGTTCCTCTGTCTCTGTATCTCCCTGTATATGTGCCTAGAGAGGAGCATGGTATCTCAGCCCCTGCTGTCCTCCGCCTCCTCCCTGCGAGAGCATGCAGCTTTCTTCCAGTCAGAAACCATGCGACCGGCAAATGACCCGAAAGAGCGCGACCCCTCCCATGTGCGGATGCTGAATGATGTACTCCGTGACCTAGAGAAGAGCTTTATCATCCCGCAGGCGCCGCCTGGAGTGTACAGGTAGGAGACAAGTTACTGTCAGAGTTGCAACAGTGGTGTGTCGAGGTAATGGGTATACGGTCATACACAAACTCTTAAAATGTGTGAAATAATGTTACATGAACTCAAAATCTTGAATACAGTTTAATTTTGTGTTTGACATCTTAAAGTCCCTTCTAGCAATGTGTTTCTTGGTGTTCTGTGTTTCTGGTGAAAAATTATACAGGTCATGCATACTGTGTTTTTATGGGTCAACAGTTCCTTTTTGTGTCTTTTTCCAGTAATGAAATTAGTCTTTTTTTCCATTCCAGTTAGCAGGTCTAGAATCTGAGCTGAGTAAATTTTGCGGGAAACAGTCATCTCAAAGAGTTTTTCCACCTTTGGCACTGTCCCTTTTAACTTGATAAAAAATATAGGCTTGCTTTATTAAAGGCCCAGTGTGTAACATTCAGGAGGAATGGAATATGATATTCATAGGTATGTTTTCATTAGTGCATAATCACTTGAATATAGGAAACTTTATGTTTTCGTTACCTTAGAATGAGCTGTTTAAATCCGCTGTGGGTCGCCTCCCATTGAATCCGCCATTTAGAACTGTTATGTTTCTACAGTATCCCAGAACGGACAAACAGGGGCTGTTGTTAGTACCTTTCCCATTGTTCACGAGTTTGCGTGTGATTTTCTGAACTCTTTAGAGATATGTTGTTCTCACAGGACAGCCACACGACAAGCATATGATGATAGAATTTGATGCATTGCTGTAGAGTAAACTACCCAACAGTATATAAAGAAGTTAAAATGAGATCAACCTCAAACATCTACAGCAGTAAAATGAAACATACACATTAATGCAGCAGTAATATTAATCCAAAAAACATAATCTATGATAGTAGAACACTGAGAGGGAACATTTTACCTCACAATTTATTTATTTTATTCTGATAATACTTAAAGCCCCTATAAGAAATGTTCATTTTTTGTTGATTCTAGCAGCCTCTGTGGACAAAACTAGTAGTGTTTCTACTGCCACATGTAATTGATTGATTGAAACCAAATGCCCTAAACTGTTTGAGTTTATTAACTCAAAGAATTCAGGCTTGTAAAATATTTTACCTACTTTATGTGACATCAAATCTTTGCATTTTGGAGGATCATTAATAATTACTTGGATGCATGATGATTTATAAACTGAAATAAAAACAAAAATTGAAAAGTCCTAAGAATTATAGCACAGTGGGGCTTAAATTTTTGTCATGATATGAAGTCAACCTAAAGAAAATAAGTATACGGAACAAACTGGAATTATGTAATCATAATTCTATATTATATTAGTTATTACTTCAACAATTTATTTTTGAGTTGATTAAATTCATGGGATTGAGTGAATCCACATTGTTTGGAGGATTAAGTTATGTTAACTTACTTCATTTATTAAGATATGCTGGTTTTACAGTGTATCCTTTTAAAGACAGTTTGATCATTCATTGACTGCCTAAATAAAGAAGAGCTTAATGAAGATTATGTTGTGTTGAAAGTGTGTATCCCCTGGAGTCATGACTTGATTCCAAAAGTAATTTTTTAATCTGATATGCTGCCATCAAATAGGTAATTAAAGGGGCCTTTATTTATTGTTAACTATTTAGTGTGCAAAACTTCATAGTAAGGACATTTAGGCCATTTTAAGCACAGTTATTATACTGGTGGCCCACTGATGCTGAATGAATGGAGTGTAAACCTGGCTTATTCATAACGAGCTGGCGGACAAAGAACAAGGTGGTCGGTTACACCTGTTTGAACACAATGGCCTGTAGCATAGCCATGATTCATCCAAACAGTTCCTGCTCTGCCTGTGAAACATTTGGAACACAACAGTAGTCATTATGGGACAGCAATTCCTGAGGCCAAACCCAGAATTTCAATTTGCTGATCACATTTAGAGTTACAGTGAGGGACTGTATGGAAATTGTTAGGGTGGGAAGAGCAGCTGAATCTCATTTCTATTAAAAAAGCATCACAAAACATTTATAAATGTTTTAAAGACTGCGTTTTCTTGTTTTGTTTATTTTTAGCAGACTTTAGATCTTGGCACATACTCTCCAGATTCTGACTTTTTTCTTCGGTATCAAAGTATGTAGGTGGTTGTTGCTGGTACAGTATTTTGCCAAAGCAGCAGGACTTTTCATGAGGTGTGTTTGACATTCAGCTGTTTCACATTCATCCATCTTCACAATATTAGTTGTGCATTGCAGTTATTTATATTTATATTTATATTTATCACAATGGGATTTTGAAGGCTGGCGGTTTGTGTGACTTCAGTATAGATAGAAACTGCTTAACCGAAGTTAGTCACCATCTCAAAAGTGCAGGACAAAATGCCAAGATAGCTTTCAGAGTTTTTCTCCTCCCATTGTATACAAGAAGACTAAAGACTACAAACTGTCAGTAGAAAACTATTTAATGCAGAATATGAAGCACTAACTTCAGCTCTAGGCTATTTGTGAAATCAACCAGTCCAGTCTCACTCCAACCCAACAAATATGGCCTCCTGCTTTACAATTTGAGGACATGTAAGACTCCAGCCTTAAAGGACCAGTGTGTAGGATTCAGTGGCTAGCAGTTAAGTTGCAGGTTACAACTAACTGAACACTACTGGCGTCTGTATTTGATGACCTAGGAATGAGAATGGGCTGTGAAGCGTGTAGAAGAAACTAGGCGACCTACAGCATCTGTAGATAAAATCGTCTCAAAAACACAACAATTCTTATATTCAGGTGATTATACACTAATGAAAACATACCTATGAATATTCCGTTTCTGCCAATAGAGCCTCTTAAATGTTACACACTTGACCTTGAAACATTATTTATGGACCTGCCAGCCAGATGTAATATAAAAAGCTTTGTTGCATGCATCCACCAAGCAAAAAACAAGAGCAAAAGATAGTTCTTAAAAACACAAAAACTGAAGAAAAGTATACTGCCTAAAAGTAAAAAAGAAATAGGAAGAGGGGTAAGGTTTCCATGGACCCGCCTGTGGGTCTGCAAACAGTCCAAAGTGGTAAAATCTTCACTGTCCAAGTCCCTATGAGTTGGGTAGAAGAGGCGAAGGAGGAAAAAAACTTGAAGGTGGCCATAATTCTACAAACATACACTTTTACACAGAAAACAGGAGAAAATACATAACACTCCCCCTTTTCTGACCCACTCTCCCTGCCCTAATAATTTTCCCACAGTCCCTAAATCACATGCAGTCCTATACCGTGGCAGCCATGATTTAAATCCCCCGTCAGCCTTCTGTCTTGCATTGGGTGCATCTACTTCTTTTTCATCTTGTTCTACATACGGAGCAGAACAGCAATAATGTAACATAAAACTTGAGCTTCACAGTGAACACATATTTATTCTCTCTGACAAAAAAAGGGAAAAGAGGAATAATTTACAGACAACCGTGTTTGAATTTTTTCCCAGCAGCAGCTTTTCAGGGCAGCGCAGCAGTAATTCATTGGCTCTGCACGGCGAATGTAAGAAAGTGAGAGCTCCAGATTAGTTGGTGAAGTTATTTTAGTCAAACTGTCCAGCTAAAGAATAAACACAATAAATCATATCAAATCACATTTAGTTGGAGGACAGCTGACCTTGACTGATAGTGGGGACTTTTTCTCAACAACTATATTTCTATCTCATAAAGTAACACCTCTGTTCGGTTTGATTTTAGCATCCTCAGTGTCTGGTACACACTCTGTCTTCCCCCACAGCACTTCAGCTGTCTACTTTTCGACGAGATTCTAACAGAATAAATGGCCTCTGCTGTTTAGTGTTATTCACAGTTTATGGCAGTAATAGACATGTAAATTGTCCTCGACTGCCATTAGCATCCAAGCTAAAATTAGCTGCTCCATCATGCTCGGAACGCATTAAGGCTTAATAGCACTCATTTATAAAGGAAGTTACCATTCCACCACAAGACCAAGACAATTAGACTATGAACACTGAATATTCTTTAACATGTTTACCTTGATGGTTTTAAGCAACAAAACCTATAAGGTAGGTAAGCACATATATGGATGCTTATGATTTGTATTTTTGTGGCATGATCTTTGTGTTAAGTAACCTCTCATTAAATTGCACAATGAACCTTAAAACTAATTCCGGATAATGCCATCTACTGTGTATCTCACTGCTATGAGCTATAGTGATTGGTATTTGGTAAGTCAGCGCAGACCTGTAAAGATTTCAGCTCAAAGACACAGTTGCTACTGACACTGGAATGAGATTCAGGATAATAAGTAGTCTTGGTCACCAACAGGGTCAGTTGGTGGTCTTGCTGTGTGCCCTGAGGGGTTCCAACTCTGGTCCAGTTTTAAATGCCAAAGTTATACAGCTATAAAGCTGCTGTGTTCTTGCTCAACCTTGGAATCAATACTCTGCAGAATATTACACTGTGATACAGATAATTTACAAGATGGGTAACAATTAGAATATCGTATAGCATTATCCTACAATAAAGCCAAATATATTATTATAATCTGCAGAATTTCAGTAAATCATCTCATGTGTCACAACCCTTTGTGTCTTTAAACTAACATTACTAGTTAGTGGCAGAGTTCATAAGTCAGTATTCAATAGGCTCTGTCCATTCCTCTTTGTATTCTCTTGTCCTGTTCAAGAGATCTTGAAGACTGGAATGACATTATGCTTCTTATGATTGAATGCAGAGTGCTCTCACAGAAATTAGTGAAAGCCACACAAACACACACACTAGTGGCTCTGAGTAGTGTTCTGCAACTCAGCTTACATACTAAACGCACTGCAGTAAAAATATTCAATCACACAAGCAACGCTGAAACACAAGAAAATGTACCAATACATAATGTTTCAGTTTTAGGTTAGGTTTTAGACCTGATGAAGACTTCAACAAGCCCTGACAACACCACTCACACAATACATTAATGCAACTTATGAATCCAAACAGGACATTATTAAGGATATTTGCCTTCATATTTAAAAATGCCTCTACTTTGG